CTCCTTTAAAAATGGAGGCGGGGAGGGCAATATCATTCAGACTCCGTTTTCCTCAGTTCAGATTTAAAGAAAAAATTATCTTTATAACAGAACAGAAGCAACCTGAGGTCCAGTTCCCTTCCACCCAGGGTTGTTTCAAACATATCAAAGCGGACCTGGCTGCCAGGTTCTCCCAGCATCCCTTGGTCCCTACCTGTTATAGGGTATGGCAGGCATACCCGACCCTCTACTCTGAACTCTGGGCTGCTCTTGCCCCCAGAGGCTCTTCCCCATATAATCCAGACATTTGGCTACCCACCCTTTTTGAACCTTTGGCCTCCTGGCTACTGCACCTGGTCCCCCCATCCTTCAACCCTCTCCCCTGTCCCACATGGCCCAGCTCAGTCTGGTAATATTCACTTTGAACTCTCCCAGATACCCCTGCCTCTGACTATGCTCTCCCCTACGTAGATCTACAGTAAACTTTCTCCTCCACCAAACCTAGCTGCAGTCATGTCCTTTCCTTTTATTTCTTTTTTCACCCACCCAGGCATCGGATAAGCCACCTGAGAGCTAGCGCGTGTCTATGTCCTAGCCTATGTCTCCTGGCTTGCTATAAATCGCAAAGGTGCAGGCTCCCCACAGCGCAGGACAACAACAGCACAGCCAGGATTTTTAAGTTCTCCACCTTTTATTTCTCTTTCCTTTTCCCCTTACATTTTGTTTTATTTGGGGGATGTGCAGGGGCGGAGAATGGATTCAAAGGGACAGATAAGTGCATGGGATCAAGACAGATGATATAAAACACACAGAATAGAGAAAATGGTAAAACTGTTAAGATGGCTGCAGGAAGGAAATTAAACTAGTAGGTAACAGAATAGACTAAAAAGTATGCACTAATATGCAAAGTATACAAAGCCTGCAAGCCTTGATTATCACCGAGGTTCACTAGCAAACTAATCCTGCCCACTTGGGCCCTAACTTCCAGCAGTTTTCCTGCACCTATTAGTATGTTAATAGCACTGCAGGACGTCCCTGGGGCCTGCCAGACTGCAGAAGAGGAGGAACAAATCTCTCTATGGGAGAACAAAAGGCATTAAGAGCTAAAGTTTTCCACCCACTGCCCTAGAAAAACCCAGCATCTGTGGCTCCCTAGGAAAACGGGGACTGCTTTTCTGTGAAGCATGTGGTCTCTACCCCATTTTCCCAAGCCTAGAGTTGAATAAAATTGCCACTCCCAAGAATCTGTCTTCTGGGTTGTAAAAGCACTTAAAATAAGCCTACAAGTCAACACTTGCCCAAACTACAGATAGATTCTTTTTCCCCATCAATTTGTTCCCTGATATCTTTTGAAATACAGGTAAACTAAGATGAAGAGCCTGGAAAGTTCCTATTTCCATAAAAACAGAAAATTGCTTATTTTCATTCATCTTCAAAGAAGAAATGATTCTCTTGCTTTAGTTGCTACAAGTATAAATTCAAAATCAAACCCTTATTTTTCTTTGTGTGTGTGTGTGTGTGTGTGTGTGTGTGTGTGTGTGTGTGTGTTGGGAGGTGGAGGTGGATACAAGTATCCGGGCAACACTGACACCGAACCCTCTTAGAAAAGTGGTTCTCAACAGAAAAGGCTAGCTTGCCTTCATAGAACATTTGGATTATTACGAGGTGCAGCAGTGCCATCTAGTGGACAGATGCGAGAGATGCTGTTCAATACCTTAACACAGACCAGAGCAATCCCATAATTTTCCAGGCCAAAATTTTAAGTCCCACACTTGAGAAATCTTGATCTATGAAAAGTGAGGTCTTTTTTTTTTTAATTTAGAAAGTTTTATTATAGGATTATATATGGGAGGATAAAAGAAAGAAGGCAGAATGACTAAATAGCAGAAGCCTATCGCTGAAAATGGGGCATCACTGAACTGTTAGACTAGGAGCAGTATGTTCCTATTAGAAAGTGGGGCGGGGCCTTCCGAGAAAGAGTAAGAAAGCCCAAAGGAGTAGGGAAAGCGTGCCCAGGCTTCTGGGCAGCATCCAAAAAAAAAAAAAAAAAGGAAAAGCTACTTTTTGAGTTAGAACTTGGCAAAGCAGGCACAGGGATGCTCTGGAGGCAGCTTCTGAAAACAGACTTATTACCACCGTCTGACACAGTGTTCTTTTTATCTCTCGACAGACCTGAAGCCATTGCTTTCATTTTTTTTCAGTGTACAATAACTTGCTCTTCAGAGAGCTTTGTATTTCAGAAACCAACTGGAACACAGATTTTAAATGGCATTCTGTCTTTAATAGTATAATCTGATCAGAATGAACATCTTTGCAGAAATTCCTCAAATGACTCTGATTCTTTTTTGAGGAGGGTCTTGTTCCATATCCCAGGCTGGCCTTGAACCCTAAACCCCTCCCTCAGCCTCTCCAATGCCACTACACCCAGTTCCTGATTTTGTTTCAAAGACACCTGCCACAGAGATGATACATCTTCCCCTCTGGCATACTGTAACTGATAGCTGCAGAATTCAAAGCCAATGAATAAGGTCTCTGTTAAAACTGGCAAAGAGAGCTGAGTTGGGTGGTAGTGGTGTATGCCTTTAATTCCAGCACTTGGGTGGTAGAGACAAGCAGATTTCTGTGAGTTTGAGGCTAGCCTGGTCTGCAGAGCAAGTTACAGAACAGCCAGAGCTACACAGAGAGACTCTGTCTCAAAAAAGCAAAAAATCAAAATAGACAAATAACAACAACAAGAAAATCACTAAAATTAGGGTGCTGGAGAGATGGCTTTGTGGTTAAGACCATTGGTTGCCATTCCAGGGGACCTGGGTTCAATTCCCAGCACCCACATGACAGCTCACAACTGTCTGTAACTCCAGTTCTAGGGAATCTAGCTCCCTCACAAGGATATACCTGTAGGCAAAACACCAATGCACATAAAATAATAATAAATGAATTATTAAAAAAAATCAGTAAAATTAGTTTCCTTTTCCCTTTCCTAACCCATTAGAAAACGGAGAATGATCCTTGTGGCTTCTCCCGGACCTGCCGGGCAGCAATGCTCTCCACCCTCACTGGCTTTCTAGCCTGTCTTTGTCATGAGGGCTGTGCTTTTCCTACAGAACCAAAGACCATCTTCTAAGGCTTTGGCCTTATGCAGGGATGCACAGACAGGCTCTCCTTAAGGTGTTAATGACAGTCATAGGAGCACAGTTTGACCTGCTGGACTATCAGGGTTGTGGGGGGAAATGCTGAGGCTGAACTGACTAACCGGTGGAATCACAAGCCATGATTAGTATAGAGGACGAAGCCTGCATTTCCCGTGTTTAGCTCCAGGGCTTCTTGTTAGTCTCAGGGAGCTAAGATAGCCTTATACTCAACAAATCCAGGGGGTTCCTATCTAGCCACCGTTTAAGGTTATTGGAAAGTTAATGAAGAAGACTCTGGGCATTCTGTACTCCATGAAAATTCTTTGTGAAGACTTAGCAAAACAAGTCTGTTAATACTATAGTTCTCCATGTCTGATGGCCTTCCAAATTAACTGGAAAACTTGGAGACTCAGCAATATAGTCATGACACTGGGCAGTGTTGTCTGATACAACCTTCTCTGAAGAGTAAAAATGTGCAATAGAAATATGGCAAGGAGCAGGCACAGTCAGTTATAAAAGTTTAATGAAATTAAAGTTTATTTGCAAACAAGTGACTTGTGGCTGCTGTATTTCAGAGAGTCCCACTCACATCTATCTATTTTCCTTTGTGTGAGGCAGGGTCTCATAGCTACGCAGCCCAGAATGTCTTGGAACTCCTGCCTTGGTACTGCAGGCACCAAGTGTAAGCCATGATTTACATCTTTCTAAAGGTACAGAGGTCATGGGCTGATATGGGAGAGTCTTCTGTTTTGTGTTGATTTCATTGGTTAAATAAACAAACTGCCTTGGCCCTTTAATAAGACAGAAAATTAGGTAGGCGGAGTAAACAGAACAGAATGCTGGGAGAAAGAAGCCAAGTCAAGGAGTCACCATGATTCTCCCACCCGACACAGACGCAGGTTAAGAATCTCCCTGGTAAGCCACCAGCTTGTGGTGCTACACAGATTATCAGAAATGGGTTAATCAAGATGGGAGAATTAGCCAATAAGAGGCTAGAACTAATGGGCCAAGCAGTATTTAAAAGAATACAGTTTCCATGTAAAGCTAGCCGTGTGGGAGCCGGGCAGAGGGAAGCAGCCCGTCGCTCCAAACAACAATGGGCATTAAGAATTACTGCAATAACATTATATTTGTGCTATTTCCATTCTAGCTCACATCTGTTACATCTCATTAAGAATTAGCAAAACAATGCCAGGCGATGGTGGCGCACACCTTTAATCCCAGCACTCGGGAGGCAGAGGCAGGCGGATCTCTGTGAGTTCTAGACCAGCCTGGTCTACAGAGCTAGTGCCAGGACAGGCTCCAAAGCCACAGAGAAACCCTGTCTCGAAAAACCAAAAAAAAAAAAAAAAAAAAAAAAAAAAAAAAAAAAAAACAAAAAAAAAAAAAAAAAAAAAAAAAAAAAAAAAAAAAAAAAAAAAAAAAAAAAAACAACAACAAAAAAAAAGAATTAGCAAAACAAAATTCCACCTGTATAGTTTAGGACCGCATGTCTCCTTTCTTTTCTAGGTGACTAGGCAATTTCATTAGATAATACACTAAATGGCTTTGGCTGCTTTCATCTTAAGTAACTAACATGTACAAGCTGTTAAACTACAAGTCAGAATGGTCAACAGTTACAGCCTACTGTCTAAGAAATCAGCAGACAGCAATCTTAGTTCACAGCCAAAGATGACTTCCAGCCAGCAAAGATACAAACACAGAGCTCAAGGGAGTCCTGAAATGCTGGTTTCTGAAAAAGCTACACCTCTCAGTGATGCAGTCTCCAACAGATCAGATTTAAACACCTGAAGGAGAATGTTAAAGACAGAGTGGCAACCCTCTTACTAGAAATAGCAGTCCATGCTAAGTTCTGTGTTGTAGGAACTAGCAAAGGAGTTTGCATTTTACCTTTCTTTAAGGCTCAGCATTCTTGAGCATTCTTGGTCTTGAGAGTCCACCAGGTCTTCCCCTGCCCATGAAACTGCCAGAAACAATGAATATTGTTTTTGTAACTAAGCAGGTGAGGGGTGGGTAATCACAAGAGGACATATGCTCAGTAGAGTAGCAAAAACCGTAACAGGTTAGACAGTGTAACATTCTAAAAGCCAAATCAAGGAAATTGTGCCCTAATTTTAAAAACAACTTAGAAACGTGAACATGACATACAATATGGAGAGTTAATCAAGTAATTCCATGGACCACTACTTTTTGTTTTCTTGGTTGGGACTGAACCCAGCAAGCAATCCTAATATGAGCACACTGACTTTGGCCTTCAGCTTTCAACTTCCATAAATAAAAACAAATAATAATTTTAAATCACATTCATGATCTGTGTACACATGAAGAAAAGTGGGCAAAATAATGAAGATTGACATTTCCCAATGTCTACTCTGTAACCTCCTGTCCGCGCCTCTCTGATGCCGTGTCCCTAATTGTACACAGTGTAGTGGTTCCTAGGCGTATAAAGTTGTCACCCGTCAATAAAGATCACAGAGTTGGTTTAAAAAAAAATAATAACAAAAAAAAATCAGAGCAAGAGAATTCCTCAGTCATATAAAACATTAGTAACTAGATAAGCGTGGCTTTTTCTACTTTAAGCCTAAGAACATGAAGTACCAGTGTTCTAAATAATCTAGGTAGAATGAAAGCATAAACAGCAGCCAGAAATTGCTTTGGTAAAGGCTAATTCATTTAATGAGACCACAATCAATGCTGAAGAAAATAAACTGACAGTAGCAGTATGTTCATGATACAATTCTCAAGGATCAACTGTAACTAGAATTGGTAACGAACTAATTTTCCTACATTAATAAGCTGTAAAGAGGAAAAACATGAACTCATGAAGCAATGTTTGAAAATACAAATTCATTGTTGATACTAGAACTATATTAACTGCTTGAAAGCTGTTAGCCATTTCATTAAACTCATCAGCAGTCACACACATACAAGTTTAAGTGTGTATCTGCTTATCCTTGTCTCAGCGTCTTGTTTTGTCTTTAACATGATTTTGTTCTCCTGCTCAGGGGAGATTCGGAAATGTCTTGAGACAATTCTGAATGTGATCATTTTGGGGAAGGTGCTACCCATAGGTCAGAAATGCCCTTCAACATCTCAGTGCTCAGGACAGCATCCAACTGAGAATAATCACCTCCTGGGGCTGAGATGGCTCCAAGGTCAAGAAAGAGCTAAGTTCGAGTCTCAGTATACACCAGGCTGCTCACAACTGTGCATGACTCCAGCTCCCGGTGATGTAATGCCCTCTTCTGACCTTAGTGTCCACAAGCAGAAGCACACAGGCAGACAGGCAGGCATATACACTTAATTCAAAATAGATATGTAAGAAAACGATTACTTCCTACATGGAATTACTGTCTATTGTGTGGCATTAGCATGACCTGGATTTAAGTTCCAAGAAAAGAACATGGAGGGATGTGAAGAAACATCTAATTCCCCCGACTTTCCATGTTTAAAGTAGGGCATACAATTACAAACTGGCCAGCTAGAATTAACCCTGAACTGCTTGCCAACGTTAAAATCCAAACTCTGGACAAGTTGAGATCCATAGAAAAAAAAGTTGCAGTATATGGAGCGACCTTACCAAAAATGATAACTTCCAACAGGATAGACTAGACTCTGAGATACTTGAAACTGCTCGCAGTTCTTGTCCGCTTTCTTCATGGCATAATTATGGTATGCTACAACTTTATAAAAGGGGGGTGCTTCTGTGTGCATCCTAGTCATGCTCACAGCTCTTCAGGCATATAATCACCCGGTGGAGTGTCAACAGCACCCTAAGTATACATGCTTTGCATGAGACTTTTCTAAACCCAACAAGCTTTTTGGCTCTGCTAAGGGAACTACAGTACTCACAGGCTCAGTTCCAAGTCAGAAGTATAGGGACAGAGGCTTTGAGAGCCCTGCTGGCAAGGACCTCTGGACCAGACTCCATCTTCACAATAATTTGCAGAGGGATACCAAATAACATGCAGGGACCTAAAACACCAAGGGCAGAAAAATAATAACTGTCAACAACAGAAGTTGAAACTTAAGTGGACCTGTCCAGGGAGGACAAACTTAAGTTCATCTGGAGCTGTAAGAGCAAGCGCTCTCTTCACCTTGCCCACTAACAATTCAGAGCCCCAATCCGCATTCACGCTGGCAGATGTCTGACCCCCGTGGCAGAGGACGGAGCGCAAGGCACTTTCCTCAGCCGTCATTTTCCTCACACTTACTTCCACTTGCAATGCACTTGACCGCACTTGCGGTCCAGTTCTAAGCAATGGTGGTCCGGCTCCAGAAAGCAACGCAGGTGTGTGGAAAGGCAGAGACCCGGGACCTTGTTGCTTTGGGTGATTCCCGAAATTCGGACTTTAAAATACCTGAAGGAAAGGGGAAAAATAACGGGGGAAGTTTTCATTTTCAAAATACTGAAGAACAGCTATAGGGAGGGGGGTGAACCTGGGTTCACAGGGGGGTTCCCAAGCAGCCTGTGTGCATCTGCCCCGAGAGATACACAGGACTGCTTTGCTCACTAGGGATTTCGGATTGTTCTACACACACACATCAGCAAAACCTTTGACTAGAAGGGAGACCGGCAGAGTGACAGCAAAGAAAGCAGGAGAAAAAGCAACAGTGGCCTTCGGGAGTGACGCGGAGGAGATTATCCCAATTAACGTGTCCACAGCCAAGTATTTCTCAAGCTCTCTCACTCTATCTCAGTTATAAACAAACGAGGGAGAGTACAGTCACGAGTTTCCAGGAGCTTCGGCCCAGTAACTTTTAACTCCGGCTGTCACACAGATCCCAGTGACCCATTATTTTGGAAGTTCCTCTTCTCTCGATCTGGGGCAGGGCACAAAAGGAAAAGGACGTAAGAAACCGAGGCGTGGAAAGGCTCAGACATAGCTGTGCTGCCGATGCCTACCCTGGAGATGGTGGTGAGTATCACAGTCGGGATATCAATAACGCGGATCCGGAGAAGTTCCAGCTTCTTCAGCCTCTGTTTCGAGAAGTGCAGTCTCGTCACCTCCCAAGTGGAAACCATCTTCAGAGGTCATCTGGTGACCCTTTATAGAAGAGAGAGCACTGATAACCGGCCAATCGACACCCCACACCTTCCTTGCTCGGCAGGACCTCCGCTAGACTCGGGGTCCTACATCTTACGGGTCTCCCCGATCCACGATAGAGCACGATAGTGTAAGGACCAAGGGCTTGTCCTCTCAGAAGGCCATGTTACACTGTTGCTAATGCTACACAGAGTTGCCCGCACTTACCGGGCTCGATCTCCGCGAGGACTCCCGGCACACTGTTTCATGCGCGCAGCCATCTTGGATACACCCCCTCACGTCACAACACTACGTGAGTTCATGACTTCTGACCAGCACGCTTGATAACCGGAAGACCCGCCCTGCGGCAGCGCTCGCCCTAGCGATCCAGCCGGCTGGGCGCCTTCTTTCCGCCGTTGTTCCACAGGTATACCTATGACGGGACTCTGACCACAGCCAGGAACTGAACTGTTCACGCCTTCGTCCTCCGGCAGCGGCCACTCTCTCACACTCGAGCTAATTCTTCGCCCCGCCCACTCCACCAGCCCGCCTCCATCCGTAACCACGTCCTCACGGTTCAATTGAAGCCTAGGCCACGCCTCTTCCTCTGGGCTGCACCATCTGCCTCCCCTTACTGGTGGGGCCGTTTCCATGGTACCCAAACTTGGCTGGTTTACATCGCCCCGCCCCCACCTCCGCTTTAGACACTCCTGCTGGCCTATCACAGCGGTCCTCTCAAGCTGAAGGATTCTCTTTTAGAACCTTCTTACCACGCATGCGTTCTGGCCTGTGTTACCTCTTGGGGCACCTCCTAAGTTCCTCACCCTGTATAAGTGACTGCTTTAGTTTTGATAACATTAGTGATCCTTCATCTTCCAGAAATGATTTGAAGCAACTTACTAAAATATACACAACATTCTGCAAGAGAAATATTAAGAATTGGAGGAAAAATTTATTGAGGGTGAATAAGACATCTAACCGCAAACCATCAGATACAGAACAGTATCGGAAGGTGGAAAGTAGGTGAGGATCTAAGCTTCTAAAGGGCCACAGAACGGAGGAAATGAAAATTATTTTACAGTTTTATAATATTCATAAAAACCAATCGAGATTTGGGTTTTGAAAACACTTCTTAACTCATACCCTGAGGGAAACTTCCGATTCCTTGCTGGGGCTCAGGAGCTAGACCCATTCCCTGTCTGACTTCTTCCTCACCAGAGACAAAAGACTGGCAGCTTAAAACAAAGGCCCGAGGTGGATTTCTGTGAGTTTGGGGCCAACCTGGTCTACATAGCGAGCCCCAGGCCAGCCCAGACTACATAGAGAGACCCTGTTTGGAGAACAAAAAGGTCTGGTAAGGCCCCCCTTCCAGTCCAACAAGATTAAGGACAAACCAGAACTTGTTTCCCCCAGCCTTGTGGACCATTCAGCCTCCCTGCTTTTGTTCAAACTGACCATTCCTAAACTGGGAAAGAAAGACCCACTCAAAAGCCCCTTGGAAGGTGTTGGAGAGATGGCTCAGAGGTTAGGAACACTGACTGTCCTTCTAGAGGTCATGAGTTCAATTCCCAGGAATCACTTGGTGGCTCACAACCATCTGTAATGAGATCTGGTGCCTGTCACGGCCACCTTCGACCAGCAAGGATGACGCGACCACCGGAGCTCTTCTTGCAGCAGTTTTCAGGACTTTATTCACAGTAATCTTTCTCCTTCTCTCTTTCCCGCTCTCTCTCTGGGCAAACCTCTCCCAGCCCTTAAGTAGGCATGGGCTGCCAATCCCAGATTGCCAGGTGGGCACTGCCCATAGGCCCACGCATATGCAGGCAGCTGATGATCATTGCGTGATCATAGCATAGGTCAGGCCTTAGCCATCTCAGGAGTTGATTATACATCTCCATCAGGTGTGATACCACGCAGCTTGCTACAGGTGCCCTCTTCTGGCCAACATGCATACATGCAGGCAGAAAGCTGTGTATGTAATAAAGTTTAATTTTTTTTTAAAAAAAAAGACCCTTAAAAATCCACCCCCCCAATAGAAACTGGGCTTCAGCTTCCCAAGTCTCCCCATTGCTTTGCAGTTGTGCATTGTGTGTGTGCTGTGCTGTGTGTGTGTGTACTTCTTCACCTCCAATAAAAAACCTTTTCTTCACCAGCTGCTTCTGTCTGCTGCTGTCTTCTCCCAATGCCCTGGAGATTTACACTGCCTTTTAACTCCTTAACTGGCAGAGAAAACAAAGCCATTCAAGACCTCTAGACCATAACTTATGATGGCGATGCGAGGTAAGTGGAAAGAAGGGGCCACAGATAGTGATTCCCGGACCCCCTTAATGTAAATTGTTGCCACAATTGCAATAAATGAAATTCAGGAACTGTCCAAACTTTCCACTTCAGCTAGTGCCTAGACCCTCAATAGCCTGGCTTAATTCAAAGTTGCATTTCAATTATCTTTCCCTGTCTGTCACTACAAAAGAATTTCATCCGTGTTGGTTGGCTAAATAACTTAATATGAGAAGTAATGTTTCCTTTACACCCAAAAGAAAAAAAAATTCCGTGATCAATTGATCATGTCTGACATGGGCAAAAGAAAGGTAAGTGTCTCAAAACAACATTTTACATCTCTGATTTATAGTGATGGGGGTCAAATGTGTGTGTGTGTGCGCATGCGTGCACGTGCATGTGCAGTCCACACAATTATTTCTCATTGTAAAGCTGTTGAGATGAAATTCAGATAGTAGGGGGGTCAAGTTCATTATTGTTGGCCAAGTCTCTGCATTGGAAACTCTGAGGCGTTGGGTAATTCATTTGCCTTTTGCATCAGTGAGAATGAGGGTATGGTTAAGATGCTGTTAGGAAGCCGAGACTATATAATTTAAAGGTTATATCACCTGATGCCTCCCACCCACATTTGTAGAGGTTTGCATAAGAAATCTGTACAAAGAGGCCTAAACCTGACTGCCCAACTAGCAGCAAAATTGAGAATTAAGGCTGAATAATACTACTCCATAGAGCATGGTTGCAATAAATTCAGGCTAGAAAAAATGTCATGACAAAATTCTTAAAACTGCCCAGAGGCAAAAGCAACAGATGCAGTAAGCGATATAATTGACTTTTATTTGTGATTCATGAATTGGGGCATCTTCTCTGCTACAAAATAGCATAAAAGTTTGCACTGTGCAATAGCAGAACATTGGGTTTTGTAAGATGGAAACTGAGACCAGATTAATATACACATACACATATAAATGCACATGTGCATTCACACACACAGAGTTGGCTAACATCAAGTGCCTTTAGAGTAGTCTTAGTAAGAGTTAATAAGTAGAAGAGATTTCCTTATCTTGAATGACTCAAGTCAATGGGAACCCTGGATTTTCTGGAAAAGCTGGGCTGTTGAGATCTATCTGCTTCCTTAAAGTTTCCACTCAGTTGAGACATTTTGAAAGAGTGATTGCATTTTGCTATGGCATGTCTCCTGAGACCTCATGCAGGTTTTAAATCCAAAACAGTGGCCCTCCATAATCCTTACTTAACAAACCCGGGCAACAGTGGAAACATGCACATATCGAACAAAATGTCAGCTAAGTCTTGCTTTTAGGCTTCTAGTAGATGAAATTCATTATAGCATTTTTATTCCCAAGATGAGACACAGCTCATTGAAGAAACTGACCATTCAATTCTTGTCTGAAAGCTGGGCATGGTGGCACACACCTTTACTCCCAGCACTTGGGAGGCCAGCCTCACCTACATAGTCAGTTCCAGGACAGCCAAGGCTACATAGAGAGACCTTGCAGTTATTGATTTATTTAGTTGTTTTCCAAGACAGGGTTTCTTTTGTAGCCCTAGCTATTGTGGAACTAGCTCAGTACATCTGCCTGGCTTCAAACTCACAGAGATCTGACTGCCTCTGCCTCCCAAATGCTGGGATTAAAGGCGTGCGCCATCACTGCCCAGTCAGAACTTGCTTTAAAAAAAAATCCTACCTTAGAAAAGTTGGCCGAGTTTCATTTACCTGGTTTCTCTGAATTAATTTTTATTTCCAAGCAGTAGTGATTAACTTTCTCTGACTAACAAAAATGTTAACCTGTGAAAAATAAGACAAAGTTCATCACGATTATAGCTATTGATTAACTTACAAAATTTGATGAGCTTTTTTAATATCCCTGTATGCGATTTCCTCACCTAAAATGAGCATGGAACCAAACCCCAGGCAGGCCCCATACCCAGGAATAATTGGCCAAACCAAAATGGATTGAATGTGTGTGTTTGTTTGTTTTGATTTTTTTTCTTTTTGGTTTTTTGAGACAGGGTTTTTCTGTAGCTTTGGAGCCTGTCCTGCAACTAGCTCCTGTAGACCAGGCTGGCCTCAAACTCACAGAGATCCACCTGCCTCTGCCTCCCAAGTAAGTGCTGGGACTTATGGTGTGTAACACTATCATCTGGCTTTGTTTTGAGTTTAATTTTTGTAGATAGATAGATAGATCAATAAAGAGAGAGACAGGGAGACAGAGAAAGAAAGACAAGGAGAGAGAGAAAACAAAGTTGGATGGTTAGGGAAGTGGGGAGAATCTAGGAGGAGTTGCAGGGGACGAGAAAGAATATGATAAAAAATATTAGATAACTAGGCAATGGTGGCGCACACCTTTAATTCCAGCCCTTGAGAGGCAGAGGCAGGTAGATCTGTGAGTTTGAGGCCAGCCTGGTCTCCACAGCTAGTTCCAGGACAGCTAAAGGTACATATAGAAATCTTGTCTCAAAAACCAACACCCCTCAAAACTGTATAAAAATTTTGAATAAAAAAAGTGAGCATGGGTGAGGTGGAGACATCAAAATTGTAGCATTCCTTGTTGATGAAGGATATTGGAAACTGTTTTACTCTGAGCAGTGATGTGAAGAATGAACTGGCAATGTCTTCACGGGACTGTCCTTCACCTCCAAGGTGTCAAACTACTAGAATTTCACTTTTTGGCTTAAATTAGTCAGTTTAGTTTTGTGCAACTTTGAAACACTCTTGGGGTATGACATGCAAAACTGAGCCTGTGCTAGGGGAGGTTGACTTTGTAGAACTGGGCATTAAATTATGTGGAAAAGAAATGGATGTACTTGTGGGAGAGAAGTGCTTTGAGAACAGTGGTTACATGAGCCACTTACAAATCTGTACCAAAAAGGTAAAGGAAAGACTCCTCAAAAGAGATGGTAATGAGACAGACTTGGAACAATGGCTGGGATGTGTAAAGGCAAATAAAAGCTCTCAGGTTCCATTTCAGGAGATCTTGTGTGGAGAAACACACGAGGATAGAGGTCTGCGAGAGCATTAGCAAGTAGCAGGAACAGCCGGGAGAACTCTCAGAAGAGAACGGGGGTGTGGATTGGTGTAGATGCTTCTGAGAAAGCCAGGTTTGTTCAGACTTTAGGGCTCAGAGAGTTGAGATTCTCCCCCACGCATACGGGAATGCTTAGGAGTATTTGGATGTCGAAATGGTCTGAGTATAAACGACAAGGGCAAAGGAAGGCAGGAAGGGCTTTTCAGGATGTTGGGTTCCAGTGTGCACGTACTAGTCATGGGCT